CTTCCTGAGAACCTGATTTTAATTGTTTTGGATAACTATGCAGAAGTGACATTGCTGGATCATATGGTAGTTACATTTTTAATTTTTAGAAAACCTACATGCTATTTTCCATAGCAACTGTACCATATTGTATTCCCATTAACAGTGTACAACAGTTGCAGTTTCTCCACATACTTGCCAACATTTGTTTTTGTTTATATGATGATAGCCAACCTGACAAGTGTGAGGTGGTATCTCATTGTGGTGTTGATTTGCATTTCCCTGATGACTAGTGATAATGAATATATTTTCATATACCTATTCGCCCTATACCTGTTTGTCTTCTGTTCAACAATTTTACCAATGTTAAGTCTTCCAATCCCTAAGCACAAGAAGTCTTTCCATTTGCTTGTGTCCTATTTAACTTCTTTCATCAGTGTTTTGCAGTTTTTAGAATACAGGTCTTTTACCTCCTTGGTTAAATTTGGTCATAGGTATTTTTTTGTTTTGTGTGCCATTATAAGTGGAATTGTTTTCTTAATTTCCATTTCATACAGTTCATTGTCAGTACAAAAATGCAGCCAATTTTTGTATGTTTATTTTGTAACCTGCAACTTTACTAAATTTATTAGTTCTAATGCTTTTTGTGAAGTCTGTAGTCTCTTCTATATATGAGATCATGTCATCTGCAAACAAAGACAATTTTACTCCTTCCTTTCTGATTTGGATGCCTTTTATTATTATTTTTTTCTTGTCTCATTGCTCTGGCATGAATTTCCAGTCCTGGGTTGAACAGAAGTCGAGAAAGTGGGCATTCCTGCCTTTCCTTATCTTAGAGGAAAAGTTTTCAGTTTTTCACTGTTGAATATCATATTAGCTGTGGATTTTCATATATGGCCATTACTATGTTGAGATAATTTCCTTCTATTCCTAATTTGTTGAGAGTTTTTATTATGAAGGCATGTTGACTTTTATCTAATTCTCTGCATATATTGAGATGATCATGTGATTTTTATTCTTTATATTATTAATGTGACTTTATCACATTTATTGATTTTTGTGACTTGAACCATCCTTGCATTCAGGGATAATTTAATTTCATCAAAATGTATGATCATTGTAATTTGCTGGCTTACACTGGATTTGGTTTACTGCGGTTTTCTTGAGAAATTTCATGTCTAAATTCATGAGGAATATTGGCTTGTAGTTTTCTTTCCTTATGGACAGTTTGTGTGGCTTTTGTATCAGGGTAATGCTAGCCTTGTAAAACAAGTTTGGAAGTGTTCCTTCCTCTTCAACTTTTTGGAAGAGTGTGTGAAGGATTGCTGTTAATTCTTCCTTAAATGTTTGGTATAATTCACCAGTGAAGCCATTTGGTGTTGGGCTTTTCTTTCTTGGAAGGTTTCTGGTTACTTATTCAGTCTCCATAGTAGTTGTTTTTAAGTCTGTTCATATTTTCTGTTTCTTCATGATTCAGTCTTGGTAGGTTGTATGTTTCTAGAAATTTACCCATTTTCTACGGTATCCAGTTGTTGGCATAGAATTGTTCATTGTGTTCTCTTTGATCCTTTTTATTTCTGTGACATCACTTGTAATGTCTCTGCTTTTATTTATGATTTTATTTATTTGAGTCTTCTCTCTTTTTCTTAGCCTAGCTAGGGGTTTGACGATTTTATCTTTTCAAAAAACCAACTCTAATTTCATGATTTTTTCTGCTTTCTATTTTATTTCTGCTCTAATCTTTATTTCCTTCTTTTTGCTACTTTGAGCTTAGTTCTTCTTTTTCTAGCTCTTCGGAGTGGGAAATTAGTGTGTCAATTTGAGATTTTCTTCTTCTTTAATTTACAGCTATAAACTTACTCTTAGCTCTGCTTTCACTAGATCCCATAAATCTGGTATGTTGTGTTTCCTCTTTCATTTGTCTTGAGACATTTTGTAATTTCCTTTTGACTTTTCCTTTGATTCTATTGTTGATCAAGTGTGTGTTGCTTAATTTCCACATATCTATGTAGTTTTTACTTATCCTTCTGTTATATTTGTTGACCTAAATAACAAAGTAAACTGAGGCAAACTCAAAAAGATGAAATTATTTGGGAATTGCCAGAGAATTGCAATTTAGGGCAAGCAAATGTAGCAAGCTACAGGTAAGTTGTTTGAGGGTTTGGAGTAGGTTGTATTTATGGCCAGGGAATGCGAAGAGGGAAGAGTGAGTTTAACCACACATAAAATTCCTTTCTCAAGATTTCTTTTCCACAAACCTTCTGTAGCTTCTCATATCTAGTTAGGTTTTGTCCTATCTTTTTGTTTTTTTTATTCTGGAACAATCATTTTACTTTAGGACAAAATTACTTTCTTTTTTGCCTTCGACAAAAATGCATCTTCATTGATTATCCCTTTTTTGGAGCAGGAAAAGGTTAATTTTTGATTCAATTTCTCCAATAGATACAGACCTGTTCAGATTGTCTATTTCCTCTTGTGTGAGGTTTGACAAATTGTGTCTTCAAGGAATTGGGGAGAAGCAGGCATCTGTGTTTTTCCTACTCTCTCTGTGCTGGGAATGAGGGAGAATCAGTGGCATTTACTATTCCAAATTGCTGCCTTTATTCTCCCCCAGACAGCTAAACCGTGCCAGATCCATCAGTGCTCCAGGATTTCTGAGACAGATGCTAGTTCTTTGGACCGTTTTGGTAATAGGGTACTCCATGCACAGGTCAACCCTTTCCTTTCCCAGAGAGAAGCAGAGAGCTGGGATTTTTCTTCCATTCACTCTGGTGTATGGGGGCAGGGAGGGGGGTGCAGATCAATGGTGTCTACTAGCACAAGCCATCACCTCCATTGTTTTCTGGGCGGCTAGACTGTGCTAAACCCATCAGAGCACCAGGACTGGTGACACAGATGCTAGTTGTTTCAGTATACTCCTCAGAAAAATGGGGGCACTGGACATGTGAACAAGCCCTTTTCCTCTCCTGGGTCGATCTGGGAAGGTAGAGGGTTTCTTTCTGATCATATGGCAGTGCTCTTGGACAGTCTCTGGTGAAAGGGTGTCCCAAATTTCCCTACTGCTTTGGTGAGTCTGATTTTGCATTCTCTCAGGGTGAGCATGAGCCTTTCAATTCGTTTCTGATTTCTCACAAAGGGAATTTGTCTGTGAACTGGTGTGTTTGTTGGGGGACAGGGGATCCAGGCTTCCTACTCCACCATCTTCCCGACCGAAATTTCAGACTCTATTTCTTTGAATACTTTTCAACCCCACATTCTTTCTTTTCTGCTTCTTGGATTCTGATATGCATTTTTATATATTCTGTAATTGTTCCACAGGTCCTTGGGGCTCTATGTATTTTATTAGCTCATTTTTCTCTGTTTTATATATTGAGTAAATTCTGTTGATCTGTCCTCAAATTCACTGATCCTATCCCTTGTTGTCTCCACTCTACTTTTGAGCCTATCTGGTGTGTTTGTGTTTTGTTTGTTATAGTCTTCAGGTCTAATATTTTATTTGTTTTTTATAGCTTCCATTTCTTTTCTGAGATTTTCTGTTTTTTCATTTGTTTCAAGATACTTTTTAATTGTTTATTTATGCAATTTTGTCACAGCTGCTTTAAAATCTTTGTCTAATAGTTCCAACATGTGGCTCATCTCAATATTGGGATCAGCTGGTTGTCTTTTCTCATTCTTGTTGCGATTTTCTTGGTTCTTGGCATAGTGTGTGATTTTCAGTTATTTCCTTGACATTTAAATCTTCTATTTTCGGAGGCAGTCACACAGTTTAAGTTTAGCTTTAGTTTTGTTTGTTGTTCAGTGACAGTTTAGCTTTCTTGGGTCTTTAAATATTATTGTGTTGCGCTTCATTCTTCTGGCTCTGCTGGAGCTCCTGCTGAATCTCCACTGGTGCAGCCTCTAGTGATAAAAGATGCTTTCCTGGGCCAGCTTGTATTGCTGGGTGGGGTTGCATGATGAAAGACCCATGAGCTGGAAAGCATTTCATCTGGCTGTTCTCCCTCCAGTGGATGTTAGTGTGTTTCTCACTCTATCTCTGCTAGTGCCCCTGGGTGAGGAAGGTTCCTAACTGGGCTACTTCCTTCTGCTTGGAGTTGGGGACATTGGGAATTATCTCATGAGAATCATTTTCTCCCACTGGGTGCAAGACCAGGAGACTGAATTGCTCTCTGTTGCTGGGTAAAGGCTTGAGATCTGGTTTACATTCTCTCTTTTTGTGATGAGCTTGTAGCTACAGGGTCTGCTGGCACCAGTGCAAGTGGAGGTGGCTGCTGCTGTTGCTTGGTTTGGAGCAGGGTATGCTCTGCTACTGTCCGTGGTTGGGGGATAGGAGTTAAGCCTTGGTTGGAGAAAAAGTGAACAGTTAGCAATGGAAATATATCTGGGAACTAGTAACGTATAAACAAATGCATAGGAGAGAATGTGATGATACTAAAGCTCTCATAGCACAGATTAACAAAGGAACAGGACTGATTCTAGATATCACCAGACTCTTAAGGGCAGAGAAGGGAATATTCACTGAAAAAGAATATTAGGGAAGACTCTGGGAAGACTAATGCTGTAAGAGTCCATGGGCAGGAGAGTGGAACTAGGGTGATCAATATGGTGAGATACTAAAAAGAAATAAAATGAGGAAATGTCATTTAAGATACCTTTGGGGAACAGAAAAAACAATTGAAATGTTCACAGTTGAAGTCAAATTAACACTGCTAATTGCACTGAGTTAGCAGTTATAAATGTACATTCAAGAAATGTGGCTGAGAAAGAAAAGAAAGTTGTTTGTCAAAAATTTAGAATTATAGCAAGAATTATTTGAGGGAGGATAGGAGTCATGATTATTCTTAGGCAGAAGAAGGCTTAGAGGAAGAGATTGCAGGTAGATAGAAAAAAAAAGGAATATCTGTTGAACAATATTATGATAATGGCTAAATCTGAATGTTTCATGATGTCTACAAAGTAAGGATAAAACCGAAAATTTTATTTTCAAATCATTCACGAATGTATCTTTATACACTCCTGTTTAGAGCCATTGCTTTTATCAAGGATATGCTGCAGAGGTTCCAAAATCAGTTGTGACACTTAGCACTTGTTCTGGACTCAGGTAACAGCATATTTCAGAGATGTACATGGTTGAAAATCTTATGTAAGCTTTAATGTTTAAAAACTTCTTAAAGAATACAGATAAAAAAAATAGCCTTTGATTGTTTTCTTCTCATATGCTTTCTTTTCCTCCTCCTCTTCTTATCATTTTTCCTATTCTCTCTGTCTCTGTACCATGCTTGCAGTCATAAAATTTATTCAGAAAAACCTCCCACTAGTCTGAAGAATATTCACACTTCTTGGCCACACTAGAACCACAATGTCTCCTAAATACCGTAATAAATAGAAGACGGTATAAAATTGGGTCTGAAAGTTAATCCAAGTAACATGGGATGATTCTTGGGTATTAGACCACAAAGATCACTGTCAAATTTCTGTAAAATGTTTTTATTTAATGTTGACTTACATTTCTCAGTGGCACAGCTATATTAATTACTCTTTCTTTTCTTTTTTAATTTAAATATTCAGGGGATTATTGAAATTGGAGAATGTCAGTTATGGAATTGAACCACTGGGATCAGCGGCTACATATGAGCACATGCTTCATCGAATAAAGAATAATAAAATCTCTTTTCCTCCCTTACAAGAAACTTATCCTATGACCGAATTGGTAGATAAATCCTTCAGGATTTTTGTGAAATCAGAAGTAAGTAACCCCTTTTGTGAGATCTTCGCTTGTGTTACTTCTGATAAACTTATTCAGATTGAGATGTGTTACATTTGGAAAACAAATTTAAACTGATGTTGATCATATTAATACCTTCTCCTGTAAGGTGTTTATTTAAAATATATTTTATGTTTATTCATATAATATTTAGAAAATGTAAGAGATATAAAGATATAATTTAGAAATTCTCACAATTCCCTAATTGCAAGTATTTTTAAGCATGTATACATAGTTGCATTGTGACTGAATTTATATCCTACCAATATAATGTTACCCAAATCTGCTGATTATTACTTTGTCAGCATTTTCCTTGTCATTACACTTTTTTGTAAAAAAGTGTTATCTTAATAGCAAATTTAAAAGTAGTAAAAGGCAAGAAATTGTTTCAGAGCTCGTTGTCTAGAGATAATTGTCTTAGAATTTTCAAATATTTGTTCCAGTTTTTGTAATATACTTAGTTATAAATGCAGCTTTATAAATGTACAGATTTTTTTAAAACAAAAAATGATCTAACCATATATGCTGCTTTGAAATTTTCTTTTTGCTATTAAGAGGATATGTACATTTTTACTTATCATTAAATAATTTTCACTTATTATTTTAAATTAGATAATATTGGTTAACGTGTTAAAATATTAAATATGTACATATGTAAAGAAAATATTTTCTGTTTTCTAGAGGTAAATGCATTTTATCCATTGAAATTATTTGGATGTATATTCTTTTATAGTTTTTAATTTATATATGTGTGTGTGCATATATGAAGCATATATATGTATATATGAGCAAATATCCATGTATAAGCATATAGGTATATAATATATATACTAAGCACAAACTTGAAATTTATATATTTTGTAAAATTATGTCATATTTTACATATTTCATTATTACTTTAATCAAGAAATGAACTGCATGAATGTACCCAAGTTTTGAGCAATCATACTTTGCTTATAAATGCTTGCATATAAAAGTAGGCATATTTCCAAAGGCTTTTTGATGTATGTATATATATATATAATCTCCTAAGTTCCTCCTTAAGAAATTTTATACAACTTTACATTTTATCACCAGTGGCTAAATAAATGAATCTCTGTCTACATATTCTCATCAAAATTGAATGTCATGTTAAAGAGAAGCAAAAAAAAAAAAATAGTAAAAAGTGAAAATAGAATTTAATTTATGATGAACTCCATCTCACTTTTGCTTTCATTTACTTTTGTTTATTTTGGCAAAGATGTTGGTTCAGATGTAGATTAATAAAATTACCCTTTCAGAATCTCGTAAAAACAATAAAATATAGCCATATATAGAGACGAAAATTTTATTTTTAATAAAACTAAGATGTGCCCGCAAACTTTATGCCAGCTCTGGAAACTATCTGCATGTTGCCATACAACATTGGACACAAGTAAAGACAATTTTTGCAGCTGAAATAGAGCACTATAACATAAATTTAAAAACTTTAAAGTATTCCATAAATACTCTTCTGTGGCAGAGGGAGAACCTGAAGAGGTGGATATGCTTTGAGAAAGACAAATAACCCCGCACTTGAAGCCATCCCTCTCCAATGAATCAGCAACAAGAGAGGGGTTGGAAGAGATACAGATAACAGACAGTCCCAGCTGCCTTAGTTTGAAATCCAAGTCTGTCCGGCTGTAGCCACAAGAACCTGGGCAAATAACATAGCCTTTCTGTGTTTAAATGTTCTTATCTGTAAAATCCAATAATAAAAATAATTGCTAACTCATGCAATATTTCAAAGATTAAATAAGTTTATAAATGGAAATTACTTAGCATAGTATATGGAGAAATGTAAGTGATCAATAACATTGCTACTACTAATAATAATATTTGCTCACCGCATTTTCTAATGTAGTGAAGCAACATATTGGAAGTAATTATGGAAAGTTTGGGTACAAAACAAAATGCAATAATGAAATAAAATAAAGACAAAGATTTCAGAACCTAAGAAAAAACCCGGGAAGTCACTGCAGGAATGGAGATAGGTGGGTAGTGGTACATGTTTGTGAATTGTGTATCTTTCATAGGGAAACTTGATAATTGCTTTTCATCCTGAATCTGATAGACTTAAATCTCTGAGTTTAGGTAAGCATGTTCTCACATGCACTAGTGCTTTTACAGGCACAAATAAACAAAGTGAATACCTCCAATATAACAGATTTTTTAAAAGAACAGAAAAAAAGTAACATGAAAACATATTTTTGGCAAATTTTTATATTTCTGAAAGTAAACACGAATAAACTTACAAGCAAGGTGAACACTTTCATTATAAGCAGAGTTGGAAAATGGAACAGAAACCAAACAAAATACAAGAAAGGGCTTACCTTTTAACGGCACGTTGGACGTATGCATTTACCCCTGCCCCTCCGTTAAACCCCACTACTATGAAAAGAGATTTTTAAAATGCGTAAACATACAAACACTAATAGAACAAGATAGGAATAAGAACAATGGAAATTTAATAGCAAATAGACAGCTGATTTAGCTCCTAAAAAGCTGAATCCTAAACTGGCAATGGGGATCGCCTCTGGAAACTTGGTACCTAGTGCAGTGCTGTTCAGTGTTTCTGGAATTGCATGCTCACATACCTTAGGAAATAACTTTAAAGGTAGACCTAAGAAGAGAATTGATTGAAAATAAGTTAAGTATTTAGAAATCCTGATTTCCTCTCCTAATCAATTGTCTCTGTTGTAAACTGATAGATAATCGAAGGTTGTTTACTTTGGCGGGGGGTGAGGGGTCTGTGAAACAGGAGCACTAGGCACAGACGTTCTATTGTATTCCACACTAGGGGAAGATCATCATACTGAAACTAAGGTAATTAAGTTAAACTTGGCACACTGGATATTGGAAACCCGGCTTATATATTCTAAGAAATATATCGGAGAGACTCCTCTCTAGGAGGCAATCAAACCAGCCAAAGAATCAAAACTAACCATATTAACAGCAAGGTTTTCCCAACCAACCACCTAGAGAAATTACCCTCTGTGAAGACAGCAGCCCAGAAACTACATGTATGATCATACCTGTTGGAATAAGCTATTAAACGCTCAATTCTTAATATGAAGGTGCACTAAATATATGATGACACAATGTAATATGGAAGATGGAGACATGAAAAAAATCAAAGTTTTAAAGTTTGAGGTACCAAAGAATATAGGGGGTGAAGGAAACAAAATGACAATATCCTCAGAGAGCTAAGAGAAAATATTTCATCCGCAAAGTAAGAATGGAGTGCTGTTTAAAAACTAACATTCAACGGATAAGTAACAGTTCTTGGGAATTAAAAGTATGATAATAAAAACTCAATAGAAAGTTTACAAGATAAAATTCCAGAAATCACACAAAACGTAAAGAACAAAGACAAATGAAAGGGAAGTTTGAGAGAGAAGAAATGAAGTTAAAATAACAATATGGGTGATAGAAATAGGGGTTCCAGTACAAATAAACAGAGAAAATTGAATTGAAGACAAGACAAGAAAAATTCTCAATTATTTAAGATGAATTTCTGGACTGATATAAGAAAATCTGATTTCTTATATATGCTCAAGATGCAGAATGGCATGAAATTTTCCAGCAGCAATACTGGGAGTTGAAAGGCAATACTACAATTGCTTAAAATAAGGCAAAGTAATTTTCAGTCTATAATTCTGTATCCAACCAAAACTACTTAATTGAGTTTTTTTAATAGAAATCATTTCTTTCCTCCCTAATGCAAAATGTCCTTCTTATTCTGTAAAATAAACAAGCCACAGTTAAACAGAAAAATAAAAGGCCCTAATCTCATCCTGAATGAAAATAGTAGCCAGCCACAATCAGAACCAAATTCACAAAGAATGTTTTCCAAATAGAGTGAACTTTCAACCAAATCAAACAATGGAACAACTGTGTACGCAGTTCTCCCCAAACTGTATTCTTCATGAGAATCAATATTAGGTCAAATCCCACTTGATTTTGAAGCAAACAGTTCCCCAACGCTCATTGGTTTAATGTCTTGTTCAGGCAAAGACCAAGTTGGATGAAACTCTCCTGGTTGATTGTCTTCCTAGCTTGACTCAGGACCCCTGAGAATCTCCCACTAGATTATCTGAGTCTAGTCAGTGATAAAGGGAAAAGAGTGCGTATGTCCCCACCTTGATACAGTTGAGCCTGGACAGCTGCCTGTCACTGACATCTCTTCTCTTGGAGAGGGAGTTAGCATCATTCTTGGATAACTGGCCATTCCTTATACCCCAAAGTATAATAATAGTCACTAATTCCCACCGTTTCTCCAAGAAAAGTTTGACTTGAGAGAACTGCATGTGTTCTAAAATAAGAATAATAATCAGAAAGGAATAAACATGAGCCATATGAATGACCATAAATATAAAATATAGGAAAAATACAAAATCCGAAGTGAATAAAAAACAATACTGATATTATTTTATATTCATGTACTGTCTCATAGGTGCCATGTATTGTTCTAAAAGCTTTACATATATCCTGTCTTTTCAATTCTTTCAATAGTTCTAAGAGTTAGTACGATTATCCCTCTTTTCAGATCAGGAAACAGAGATTTAGAGAGCTTAAATTATTAATCTACGAAATTCTCTGGTAAGTTGCTCCATTAAAATTCAAACCCAGGTAATATGACCCTAAAGATATGCTCTTTAGTAGTCTAATGGTCTACTTCTATACAGTCTGTTTAGGAGAGCCCTGAAAGTGCTCAGGAAATAAGTGTAAGAGAAAAATAAAGCTATTTTAAAAATAAAAAAAAATTGGTAGTAGAACTAGTGAATAATAGAATAAACGTCGTGCTAAAACCCCAAATTGTAGTATTATAGTCAGGTTTAAGGAAACAGAGAAAGCAATGATATAAAAATTATGATAGAGAACACCTAAGACCGTGTGATGGTTAATTTTATGTGTCAATTTGGCTGCGCCACAGTGCCCAGATAGTTGGTCAAATTTGATGGGTGTTTCTGTGAGGATGTTTTTGAATCAGATTAACATTTAAATCAGTGGACTTTGAGTAAAGCAGATTGTCCTCCATAACGTGAGTGGATCTCATGCAATTGGTTGATGTCCTGAATAGAACAAATGGACTGACCCTCCCTTAAGTAAGACAGGATTCTCCAGCCAGCTGCCTTCAGACTGGAAGTGCAGCAGCAGCTCTGCCTGGATCTCCTGCCCACTGGCCTACCCTCAAGAATCATGTGAACCAGTTCCTTATAATAAATCTAATTATAGTAAATTAAAATAAATGTATAAATATACACACAGACATCCTGTTGGTTCTGTTTCTCTGGGGAACCCTGACTAGTAGAGTGTAAAAGGTTGATAAGAGAAATTCAAAATAATAAAATTGTCCTTCATGAATAAAATAGCACCCAAAGTATTACAAGTTACTAAGAATAAAACTTTGTTCATGTAAAGGAGTTCTGAATTTGAAAGATGCCCCAAGAAACCCTGATAAAAACTGGCAACACTGAGATGTAATGTGGTTAGTATATTGGACTTCATAAATGTATAATGAATAATCTTATAGGCACCTTGGCCTCCACAGAAATCACCTACAAAGATAGGAAAACTCAGCCTTTGCTCAAATGAAGTGCTTGTAAGACAGTCAACCATGTCTGTCTTGGGGGCTTGTATAGAGAATTGCTTCTCTAGGGGGTACAGGCATACCTCGGAGATATCATGGGTTTTGTTCCAGACCACTGCAATGAAAAGAATATCACAATAAAGTGAGACAATTTTTTTGACTTCCCAATGCATATAAAGTTATGTTTAAACTATTCTGTAGTCTATTAAGTGTACAGTAGCATTATGTCTATAAAACAATGTACATACCTTAATTAAAAAAATACCTAATTGATAAGAAATGCTAACCATCATCAGAGCCTTCAGCAGGTGGTAATCTTTTTGCTGGTGAAGGGTCTTGTAAAAAACACAATATCTGCAAAGCACAATAAAATGAGGTATGCCTGTATACAACATCCCAACAGTTTTTTTAACCTAGTCAAGTTGCCGTTTTATATAAAAACATTCTTACTTTCTCAGGAATTCTGAGACTATAGTATCTGTGGAACTTTGAGGCAATATTACTTCAATCAGTATAGCAAAATAGGAATCGAATCAAACAATTTAACATATTTATGTAGAAAACCACAGAATCATTGATAAATAGTCCAGAAATATCATTTGGCAAAATTCAACACCCATTCATGATGAAAACTAGGAATAGAAAACTTCATTGATCTAGCAAACAGCATCTGTTAGCATCTACAGCTAACATAATGAATGTAAGTGACTGAATGTTTTGCCCCTGTTGTGGACTGCATGCTTGTGTCCCCCCCAAATCCATATGTTGAAACCCTGACCCCCCCATACGATGGTATTAGGAGGTGGGGTTTTGGGAAAATAATTAGGGTTAGATTAGGTCATAAGGACGGGGCCCTCATGATGGGATTAATGTTCTTATAAAAAAGGGAAGAGACAGGAGATCTCTCTCTGCTCTTCCTCCCAAGAGCACACAAGAAGACAGCCGTCTGCAAACTAGGAAGAGAGCTCTCACCAGCTACTGTATCTACTGGCTCCTCGTTCTTGAACTTCCCAGCCTCCCGAACTGTGAGAAATAAAATGTTTGTTGTTTAAGCCACCTAGTCTCTGACATACTTTTTATAGTCTGAGCTTACTAAAATAGCCCCTAAGATTAGGAATAACACGAGGCCATTTGCCCTCACTAGTTCTAGTCAACATTTTACTAGAGTTCCTCGATAGTGCAACGGGAAAAAGAGTAATAATCAAGGGCACACGCTTTTGAAAGGAAAAAGTAACCCTATATTTTTAGTGATCTAACTGTGTATGTAGAAAATCCCAAAGGATCCCCACCAGAGCTGTCAGGACTAATAAGAGGGTCTAGCAAAGTCACAGGAGAGAAAGAAATTGACATCATTAAGATGTTCGTTTTCCTGAAATTTATCTGTGGATTTAGTGTAATCCCAATCAAAATTCCAGTATGTTCTCAAATTCATAAAGAGATGCAAATATCCTAGAATAGTCAAACAGCTTTAAAAAGAAGAATAAGATAGAGTACTTACATTATTTTTTCTTTTTTCTGTTCTTTCTTTTTGTGAGGAAGATTGGCCCTGTGCTAACATCTGTTGCCAGTCCTCCTCTTTTCGCTTGAGGAAGATTGCTGCTGAGCTAACATCTATGCCAATGTTCCTCTATTTTTTATACATGGGATGCCGCCACAGTGTGGCTTGATGAGTGTCAAGATCCACGCCCAGGATCCAAACCTGCTAACCTTGGGCTGCCCAAGAGGAGTGCATGGAACTTAACCATTAGCCACCAGGCCAGCCTCTACATTACTTTTTCTTAAAGGACCAGATAGTAAATATTTTAAGCTTGTGGGGCATGTGGTCTGTTGCAGCTACTTCACTCTCCCTGTGTAGCATGAAGCAGCATAGACAGTATACAAACAAATGGTGCGGCTGTGTTCCAATAAAATATTTTTTACAAAACAGGTGGCCATAGCTTGGGTTATAGTTTGCTGATCCCTGCTATAGAGATACACATTGTTTTATTGGTGTAAGTATAGACATATAGAACAGTGGAACAGAATAGATCAGAAGTAAACCTGTGTACTATTGGCCAATTGATTTTCCACAACGATGTGAAGGACTTTGAAAGGTTAAACAGTGATCCCTTCAAATTATGCTAGAAGACTGGCTATCCATATGGAATAAAATGAATCTTGACCCCTATTTAAAAAATTGAATTACAGAATAGTCTTAAATGTCAAGACTAAACAAAATTTCTAGTAAGGAACTTAGGAGAAACCAAATTAATGAACCATAAGAATGTGAAAAGATGTTCAACGTCCTTAATTACCAGGGAACTGCAAATTAAAACCTCAATGAGACATCAATACAGGTTAACAAGAATGGATACAATGAGAAAACACAATACCAAATATAGGCAAGAATATGGAGCAGCTGGCACTCTTATTAATCCTTGGTGAAAATGCGGAATGATCAAACTGCTTTAGAAAACAATCTGGCACTTTCATAATACTTTATACACTCACAATTACCATATGACTCAGGTATTCCATTTCTAAGTATTTACCAGGAAAAATGAAAGAATATAACTGCACATGGATATTCAGCTTTATTTATAATTGCTAAAATGACTAAATAATCCAAATGATCATCAACAGTAAATGTATAAACAAATTGTGATATATTTCTAAAATGGCATGCTACTTAGCAATAAAAACTAATGAGTTACTAATAATCACAACAACATAGATGAATGCTGAGTGAAAAAAGCCAAATATAAAAGAGTACATACCATATAATTCTATTTATGTGAAATTCTAGAGTGGATTATTTTAATTTATGGTGAGAGAAAGCAGATAATTGGTTGCCTTGAGTCCTCTGGGCTATTGACTTGGACAAGGGTGATAGAAACATGCTTTGCTTTACTTGTGGAAATGGTTCCATGGGTGTACACGTTAGTACTAATTCATATGACTATTCTTAAAATGGATGCATTCTATTGAGTGTAAGCCACAGTAAAGTCAAAGTTAATTAAAAGGACAAAAGCAATGAGAAAATAGAGGCAATGTTTCAGGGAAAGTTGGTGAGAGCTTGTTTAGTTGAAGTTTGGGGGAAGGTTTCCAGAGGAAGGACACATGAGTTCTCCCTCATTTCAGTAAATTTTCTGAGGACTCTAATTATCAATAATATAAAGTAAAAGCTTCTGATTTGTCCGTAAAATTTTTATTTGGAATCTCACCTGCTTATTTATTCAGGGGCATCTATCCTTTTGTTTTCTTATTATCTTTATATATTTGTATCTGTAACTATTTATCTATTTATCTATCTATACTTTGTGTGTGTGGTGTATATGTATGTATACATATATAATGTGTGTATGTATGCATACATGTAATAATGTACATATATAATGTACATAATTACAAACAATTTGAGAATTTAAAAAGTGTTTTACTTAATTCATGTCTGCTGTTTCCCAGAAAAATTCAGATGCGCTAACGAAAAGAATTCTGAAGATGCAAATCGTTATGGATAAAGCCTTGGTATGCATTATTGATATATTTCTTCATATCTTTATTTTGTGTTTAAATTCAAAGGAAATGTGAGAAAAAAGACTTCCATTGTTTGCAATATAGATATATTTTCTCTGTTCAAAATATGTCTCTGGTAAAGCACAACATAAAGAAATGTTGTCAGTTGCCTTTACATTGACATAGGGGGATTGCTATTTACAATATTGATTTCCAAATCAGTATAGAATTCTATCAATAATATATAGCTTTGTATAATGGAAGGATTCTAGTACAATATTACCTATTGGATTATAATTAGCTCCAGATATTTCTGAATCCACCCCAAATGGTGGTGAAACTGTTTTCTTTAAATTGATTTCCATTTTAAAACTAGCTATTTTGTTTATTACTAAATTGGAGATCCTTGTTATTAAATATTATCTTTTATAAGATTATTTTATGCTTTGTAATCACTTGGGTTCTCTGGTGGAAGTTCTGCATTTTAAAATGAGAAGAATTATTCATAGGAACATTCATTTAGTTATGGAAATGTTTGTTTATATAATCAGTTTTAACAAAGCCATATGAGTAACAAGTTAAAAAATATGATTTGTCCATTATCACTGATATTTTTGCATAAAGTCCCTTGGTGAGTGCCATAATGTTCTAGATTATGTTCATAAAAGAAAATATTTAGATCTTTAAATAATTTTTACAAAAACAATAACAGAAAAGAATACACAGACAAAATAATTTAAAAAAACACATAATTTTATCACCAGGAGATAAATTATATGCACACATTTCCCATTTTTTTGAGGAAGATTAGCCCTGAGCTAACATCTGCTGCCAATCTTCCTCTTTTTGCTGAGGAAGACTGGCCATGAGCTCACATCCGTGCCCATCTTCCTCCATCTTGTTTGTGGGACACCTACCACAGCGTGGCTTTTGCCAAGCTAAGCCATGTCCGCACCCGGGATCTGAACCGGCAAACCCCAGGGTTCCAAGAAGCGGATTGTGTGCACTTAACCGCTGCACCACCGGGCCGGCTCCAACACATTTCCTATTTTTAATACACACATACTTATATTTATGTATGTGTATATTTATATATCTGCATTATATATGCTATTTTGTAATGCTATTTTCTAAACAATTTAATAATATTATCCCATATTTTAATGCTTACATAGTGTTCAATTAATATATTAAATATAATTTAATCTGTTTTACTAGCTAATGCCCTTTGGGGCATTTATATTTTCATTATTGTTGTTTCATGCGGAATAATATTATTTGGTTTAACACCAGGGAGCATTGGAATTATGCTCCCCCAGATAATCCCATGAGGTTGCTAAATTTAAATCTAGACAGCCCACTTTCCTCCCTCCACTTAGATGTTAACCTGCCAGTAGCAACAGAAGACATCTTCAGATGCTATTGTCATCATGCAAAAACACCTCCAAAGAGTTCTTTATAATATTCTATGATGAGTATTCCCTCTCCTTTTATGTTCAACTTTTCTGTCTTAAATTTTAAAGTATGACTCTAAACGGCATATCCATAGGTCTTTTTTTTCTCTGCTGGATCAGATAATCCCTTCCTTCTCGTTAGAGTATTTAGTTGATTTGTTTATCACAAGTACTGACAACAGCAGATGGAGGTTAAGTACTCCCGTGTGGTGTGTGCTATTAGCGTTCTAATTGTTCTGTCAACTGTTTGCTCTTTTGTTCCTCCCTTGCTGCTCTTGGATTAGTGGGCTATTTTTAGCATTTATTTTTATCTCGTATATATATTTTTTCTGCTATGCCCCTTTATCTCCCACGTCCCACCCCAGTGGTTTAACTAGTAGTTTCAATTAGTATTCCTATCTTATCACAATCTGGAATTAATGTTATACCATTTCATATATAATGGAAAATCCTTGTAACAGTAAAATTCCATTTAATACGTTTGTGATGTTACTGTAACCTATACTACTTCTCCATGTGTTATAAACCACAAAATAAATTATTTTAAATTAAATATTCAATTGTTGTTTAAAGAAGGAAAAAAGGGTTTCTCATTTTTCTGCCTATTTACCATTTCCAAAGCCCTGTCTTCCTTCTTTTAGGCCTGTGTTTCTGATATTTCTGTTTAGCCTGTTGAATTTTCTTCAGCTTTTGTTCATCTGAAATTATCTTTATTTCATTTTCACTTTTTAAATATTTTATTTGAAAATATTTTCAAACTTCCAGAAAAGTAGCAGGAATGAGAATAATGCAAAGAACACCTGTATCCTCTTTACTTGGATTTATTGTTAATATTATATCATGTCATCGCTTGTGCTCTATTTGAAAGTAAATTGTAAATTGCATCATGCAGCTTTTTTTCAGTGTGCATTTACTAGAATAAGATCAGTACGTTATATAACCACAATAGAGTTATCCATGTAAGTAAAAATAACATCATTAGAACACTTTTAATCAATTCTATAACAACTGCTTTGTGATTGGACCGTGTAATCTACGTGATACTATGCTTTACAGTCAAAGAACTGTTTCATGGCCTAATATGAGTCAACTTATGTAAAACGTTCATATATATTTGAAAAAATATTTATATATATTTTATTATTGTTTTATATAAGCTTTTATAAATGTGTATAATGTCCAAAGTTTGCTTGAGTTTTTAAAGTCTTGTATATCTTTACGGTTAATTTGTCTGCTTGATCTATTAATGATTGAGAAGTATGTAAAAATCCCTCACTATGATAATTTCTATTTATAATTCTGTTAAGTTTGTTTTATGTATTATGTTGCTAGGCTATTAGTTATAAGCAAGTTTAGAATGCTTCCATCTTTCTGATGAATTAAATATTTTATAAATATGTTGTGATAATTATTTCCTTTTTCATATTAATGTTACTATTATGTTAATTACTGTAACTATCACATCACGTAACATGTGCTTTTTGTCTAGTATTGTCCTGGTATGTATTTTCCTGCTTTGACTGTTCGTACTTATATGTCTTTATAATTTAAGTGTTTTTCTTTTAATTTGCATATAGTGAGTTTTCTTAGTCTTTATCATTTGCCTAGTGTTTGATGTGTTGATAATTTGTGATTATTGACATATGTGGATTCATTTCCAAAACCATATTTTTGTTTTCTTTTGTCTTGCTTTTCATATGTTTATTCTTGCAAAGGATCACCCTCACTCATGCTACACCTGCTGTGTTGTGTAAATATTCAATATGGTTTATTGGGGAAGGTTACATACAGAGAAATAGCAAAGTGCAAACAGTCTCTAAACAGCTGGGAGGATGGCAACTCTCTTGTCTGTATCAGAGAACTCTATCCATTCCGTTTTATTTTCTGCCAGGAGTCTTCTGCAGACTTACTGGAGATATTGAAGATCTCAAGCTGCCAATTTTTATGTTTTCAGCCAACACTTAGAAATGTGTGTGCACATGCAATTAGAAGTATTTCAGAGAAAATAGTATGACTTTTGTTCCCTTGAATGAGGACATCTTCTTAAATTATTCACTAATATAGCACTCAGAGCTCTGCATTTACAAAGTACATTGTTGATCCAGGATATATGGTCCTGTTGTCTTATTGGGATAAAGACAAACGATGACAGCACACTGCAGCAGACAACATAGACAGCAGTTTAGCTATTTAGAGATTTGAGTCCTGGTACTCACCTTTAATAATTGTTGCAATCGTAACCTTAATTGTGTGGGTTTTTTTTTTTTTTTTTTTTTTTTTTTGGTGAGGAAGATTTGCCTTGAGCTAACATCCGTTGCCAATCTTCCTCTTTGTTTTTGGTTTTCTTTTGCTTGAGGAAGATTAACCATGAGCTAACATCTGTGCCAATCTTCCTCTATTTTGTATGTGGAATACCTGCATAGCATGGCTGATGAGTGGAGTATGTCCGTGCCCAGAATTGGAACCCACGAACCTGAGCTGCCAAAGTGAGAGAGTGGAACCCTAACCATTCAGCCATGGGACTGGCCCCTTGACCTTACCTTTTGATCCTTAATTTCTGTATGTGTACAAAGGAAGATAATCACAACTATCTCATTTAAATATTATTGATTAACATACGAAGTCCCTAGCTTTATGCCTAAAACTTACTAAATACTTGATAAATCTTAATTCTACTTTCATTCTTTCACTTGAGCACTGCATTATTTTAGCGTTTTATATTTTATATCCATTTAAAATGCTGTAGTCTGGTAATTTTTACTAGTGATTAAGAAACAAAAATTTGCCTTTCAGTATAATTACATGGGCTCTGAAGTGGCAGTTGCAACTGAGAAAGTTGTCCATATCTTTAGTCTTATCAACACTGTAAGTATTTATTTTCACATTTAAATAAGAAATATTCCTATTAATGAAGTAACATTGTATTAATAGCATTTGTATTTTTATGAAAAGTAGTCTTACCAACTAATTTCATTCACCAGTGGATTTCATCTCCAAAAAATAATAAATTGATTATATTAGCTTTATGTATGAGATGTAATGTTATATTTATGTAGCCTAAAACTGCGTATCATGTGTCTTCTGTTTTCAGATGTTTTCCCAGCTTAAAATGACTGTTATGTTAACTTCTTTGGAGATCTGGTCAGATCAAAATAAGATTTCCTCTAATGGGGATGCTGATGAAGTACTGCAAAGATTTGTGTCATGGAAAGAAAAATTTTTGTTTCAAAGGTCTCATGACATGGCATTCTTATTAATGTAAGTACCTTGTTTGCATTGATATAGGGTTTATCAACTTATTTGATATTTTAGCTATCAAAATTATATACAAAATTTATTATGTATAATAACAAGACATCTCAAACAAAGATTGCATGAGTACTGTATTGGCAGAAGGCAAAATATAAAAATTCAATAATAACGTAAGACACTAACTCATAGTAGGCCGTTATTCTCAGAGTGGACTGTCTACCTGTGGAAATGTAGTGAACTGGAAAATATGAAAGACTTAGGAGAAACGTGAGGCCTTGATGGTTTTAAAGATTTTCCCAGGAGTAAATAATTGAAACCATCATTTTAACATTAAATAAAATGTAAATTTGTTAACAGAATGCAATAATTGCATACAAAGCTGGTTACAGTACAAAACCTTTAAATAGTAATGTGGTTACCTTCCAGTATTTCTATACTGACCTAATGTGTAGCTATTTAACTACTTGTACCGTATCTTTCAAGTCTTTAGATTTTTGTTTTAATAATTTAATTATTTTAGATGGAAAAAAAACAAAAAGACAATTCTGAAGACCTTAAATAATATGGAATACATTTATAAATCTATTGGTGTCTCCTGTGGAATTTAAGTTCAGGTTTGGGGATTCAGGAACAACATTAACTAAGGACTAAAATGAGTGCGGTCACTTTCTACCTCCTGTCTTTCTTTTTCTTGGTGAGTCTACTGCATGTTCTGTCTCTTCTCTCCTGTCCTCCAATCCAACATTTTTTACATACTTTAAGGGTTCACCATGTGCAAATCATGGCAGTAAACTGTCTTGAATTTTACATTTTAGGATTATATTCATCCAGTGGTGACAATGGCGGTAATTAATTTTTTTGAATGATTAAGCACTACTAGGTTTTAGGCTGTGTATCAGTTGATGTTAAAGTAGCCTTTAGAACTTACCTTTGTATGAACTATGGGAGATTACCCGATACAGAATAATTGAAAGCATTAGACATGATATGTATTATTCATGTTTTAAGAAAACATAGCTTTATTGAGGCATCCAATTCTTAAAAAGTCATTAAGTTATTAACAATTTAAAATGCATTTATCCACAAGAAAAATTTTATTACTTAGTTATCGGGACCATCAAAATTACGTGGGAGCAACATATCATGGAATGGCATGTGATCCAAAGTTTGCTGCAGGAATTGCTCTGGTATGCATTTTATTCCCATCTCTTCAGTAATTATATCACATTTTGAAAGTTAATATCCACTTCAAGGAATGAAAGTGTATATAGTGTATCTTCCATGCTGTTTTGAGAAATTTTTATAAAATCCTTCTTTTGATCTTGAAACTCAAATGTTATAATTTTTAAAGATTAATTGTGGTAAAATACACATAAAATTTACCACTTTAACTATTTTTAAGTGTACAGTCCAGTCGTGTTAAGTATATTTACATTGTTGTGAAACAGAGCTCCAGAAATTTTCATCTTGTATAAGTGTAACTTTTGTACCCTTTGGCAACAAAGCCCCATTACACACAGCCTCTAACTGCTGGCAACCAACCTCTGCTTCTATGCGTATGATACTTTTAGATTCTGTATATAAGAGGGATCACACAATATTTGTCTTTCTGTGTCTGGCTTATTTCGCCTAACATAATACCATCCAGTTTCATTCATGTTGTTGTAAGTGGCAGGATTTTATTCTTTTTATGGCTGAATAATATTCCATTGTGTGTATGACATTTTCTTTATCCATTCATCTGTCAATGAACACTGAGGTTGTTTTCATACCTTGGCTATTGTGAATAGTGCTGCAATGAACATGACAGTGCAGATATCTCTTCAAGATACTGTCTTCAATTATTTTGGATATATACCCAGAAGTTGGTTTGCTGGATTATATGGTAGTTTTATTTTTAATATTTTGAGGGACCATCAAACTGATTTCCAGAGTGATTGCACCATTTTATAATCCCAACAAATGGTTCACATTATATTCATCACATGAAGATTTTGCCCTATGTTTTCTTCCAGTAGTTTTATAGTTTTGGATCTTACGTTTAGATCGTTATCCATTTTGAGTTATTTTTTTGTATATAGTGTAATATAAGAGTCCAACTTTATTCTTTTGCATGTCAATATCCAGTTTGCCTATCACCGTTTATTGAAGAGATATCTTTTCTCTGTTGAATATTCTTGTTGAAGCGACTGTTCTTTCCCCGCTGTCTGGTCTTGGTACCCTTGTCCTAGGTCATTTGGCAACATGAGTGAGGGTTTAATTTCTAGGTTCTCTTTTCTATTCCAATGAGCTACAGGTCTGTCTTTTTGCCAGTACCACATTGTTCTGATTACGTTAGCTTTATGATATGCTTTGAAATCAGAAAATGTGAGTCCTCCAACTTTGTTCTTTTTCAAAATTGTTACAATTATTCAGGATCCCTTGAAATTCCATATGAATTTTTAGGTTATTTTTTCTTTTTCTGCCAAAAAATGCTATTGGGATTGTGGTAGGAATTGCATTGAATCTGCAGATTGTTCTGGGTAATAAGGTCATCTTAATATTGTCTTCTAATCCTTGGACTGGAATGTCTTTCCATTTATTTGTTTCTTTTCTATTTTTTTCAGCAATATTTTGCAGTGTTCAATAGACAAGTACTTCACCTCCTTTATTAGGTTTATTTCTAAATATTTTACTCTTTTTCATGCTATTGTAACTAGAATTATTTTCTAAATTTCTTTTCAGATTGTCATTGTTAGTGTATAGAAACTGATTATGTTGATTTTGTATCATGAAATTTGTTTATTAGTTCTAACAGCTTATTTATGTGGAATAGTTGTATATCCTAATAGTAGGTCACTCTAGTTCCTCTCTGTGGGATGCCATCACAGCATGGCTTGATGAGTGGTGCGTAGGTCCGCACCAAGGATCCCAATCAGTGAACCCCAGGCCACCAAGGAAGGGCACACAGACTCAACCACTTGGCCACAGGACTGGCTCCTGAAGTTGTTTTCTTATATTCCTAGTTTCTTGGGTGTTTCAATCACAAAAAGGTATTGAATATTGTGAAATGCGTTTTATGCTTTAATTGAGATGATCATGTGGATTTTATCCTTTATTCTGTAACAATGGTGTATTACATTGGTAGATTTTCTTGTGTTAAATGGTCCTTGTATTCCAGGAATAAATCTCACTTGATCATGGTGTATAATCTTTTCAATGTGCTGTTGAATTTGGTGTGATAGTATTTTGTTGAGGATTTTTGCATCAATATTCATCAGGGATATTGGTCTGTAATTTTCTTTTCTTGTTGAATGTCTGGTTTTCGTATCAAGGTAGTGCTGACCTCATAAAGTGAGTTTGGGAGTATGCCTTCTTCTTCAGTCCTTCAGTCCTGAAAGAGTTTGCAGATTATTGGTAATAATTCTTCATTAAATGTTTGCAGAATTTACTAGAAAAGCCATCAAGTCCTGGGCTTTTCATGGTTGGAAGGTTTACGGTTATTGCTTTAATCTTCTTGCTGGTTATTCATCTGTTCAGATTTTCTGTTTCTTCAGTTTTGATAGGTTGTGTGTTTCTAGGAATGTATCCTTTTCTTCTAGCTTATCCAATATGTTGGCATACACTTTTCATAGTATTCTCTTATAAACTTTTTTTAAAAAATTGTGTCATCAATTGTATGTCCCCTCTTTCATTTCTTATTTAGTTAGTTGAATATTATCTCTTCTTTTCTTTGTTAATCTAGCTGAATTTGCCAATTTTATTGATCTTTTCAAAGAACCAACTCTTCGTTTCATTGATTTCTTTCTATTCTTTCTATTTTATTTATTTCTGCTTTAAAATTTATTATTTCTTTCCTTCTGTTTGCTTGGGGTCACTTTCTTCTTCTTTTTCTAATTCCTTGAGGTATAAAGTTACATTGTTCATTTGAGATCTTTCTTTTTAAACGTATTTGTTTACAGCTCTAAACTTCCCACTTAGCGTAGCTTTTGCTGGATCCCGTAAGTTTGGGTATGTTGTATTTTCATTTGTCTCAAGGTATTTTCTAATTTCCCTCGTGACTTCTTCTTTGGACTCACTGATGTTTAAAAGTATGTTGTTGACATCCCACAGTTTTGTGAATTTTCAAGTTTTCTTTCCTTAATTTCTAGTTTCGTTCCATTGGGATTAGAAAAGATACTTTGTATAATTTCAGTATTTTTAAAGTGGTTAGACTTGTTTTGTTATGTAAGAGGTGATCTATCTGGAGACCTGGAGAATGTTCATTGTGCATTTGAGAAGAACATGTATCCTGCTACTGTTGTCTGGAATGTTCAGTATGTGTCTAGTAGGTCCAGTGATCTATACTGTTAAGTTCTTCATTTACTTATTTATCTTTTGTCTGATTGTTTTGTCCGTTATTAAAAGTGAAGTATCGAAGTCTCCTATTATTATGTTGCCATCTGTTTATCCCTTCAATTCTGTCAAAATCTGACTCATTCATTTAGGAGCTCTATTTTTGGGTACTTAAATATAATTGTTATATATTCTTGGTTAATTCACTCTTTTATCCTTACATAATGTCTTTGTCTCTTTTAACAGTTTTTGACTTAAGGTAATTTTGTTTGATAGTAGTATAGACACCTCTTCTGTCTTTTGGTTACTATTTGCATGGAATATCTTTTTCCATCCTTAACCTTTCAGCCTTTGTGAGTCCTTAGATCTAGAGTGACTGTCTTGTAGACAGCATATAGTTGGATCCTGTTTTTTAATTTAGCCATTTTATGTCTTTTGATTGGAAAACTTAATCCATTTACATTTAAAGTAATTACTGATAGGAAGAACTTATATTGACATTTTGTTAATATTTTCCTCTCTATCTTGTAGCATTTTTGTCCTTCTCCTCCTCTCTTACTACTTTCTTTTGTGTTTCATTTTCTTTTATTGTGACATGCTTTTGTTCCCTTCTCTTTTCCTTTTGTGTATATGATGTAGATATTTTCTTTGTGGTTACTATTGCAATTACTTAAAGCATCTTAATGTTATAATAGTCAGTTTTAAACTGATAGCAACTTAACTTCTATTGCATACAAAAACTCTACTCCTTTACAGCTCTACCTCTCACTTTATGTTATTACATAGACTTTAGTGTTTGGTTTGTGTCCTTTAAATGCTATGCAAGAATTAAAAGTGAATTTATGTACCAAAATTACAATAATACAGGTTACTATATTTGTCCATATAGTTGCTTTTATTAGAGAACTTTATAATTTTGTTTTGGCTTTATAGTGCTATCTAGTACCCTTTCTTTCCAACTTGAAGGCCTCCCTTTAGCATCTCTTTTAGATCAGACCTAATGGTAATGAACTCCATTAACTTTAATTTCTCTGGAAAAATCTTGCTTTGGAAAAAGAAAGTTTTGCTGGGTATAATATACTTGGTTGATGGTTTCTTACAGCACTTTGAATATATCACGCTACACCCTTCTGGCAGTGCAAAGTTTCTGCTGAGAAAGCCACTAGTAATCTTATGGGAGCTCCCTTACATGTGACAAGTCACTTTTCTCTTTCTGCTTTCAAGATTCTCTCTTTGTCTTTGACGTATGACAGCTTGATTATAATGTGTCTCTGTGTGGGTCTCTATGGGTTTCTCCTACTTAGGAACTGTTGTGTTTCTTGAATCTAAATGTTCATTCTCTGCTTCAGATGTATGAAGTTTTTGACCATTATGTCTTCAAATAAGCTCTCTGCCCCTTTCTCTCTTTGCTTTCAGAGACTCATATTGGTCTGGTTGTAGTGTTGATAGGTTCTTTCACTTCCCTTGTTCTTTTTTTCCCCTTATTCTTTCCTTATTATTCTTATTTTTGTCCTCTCACTTCGAATGGCCTATCTTCAGGTCTGATTCTTTCTTCTGCCTGATCAAGTCTGCTTTTGAATCCCTCCAGTGAATATTTTTAGTTCATTTATTATATTTTTCAGCTGGAGAATTTCTGTTTTTAATATTTTATATCTCCTTCTTGATATTTATACCTGGAATTTATTTCACATATGTAAGGCTGATTCAGCATTCAAAAATCAATCAATTTACTTAATCGATCCTATCAATAGGCTAAACAATAAAAATCATATGATCATATCAAAAGAATCATAAAAAGGATTTGACAAAGTCCAACACAATTTATTATTTAAAAAATTGTAGCAAATTATGAATATAAGGGAACTGCCTCAGCTTGAGAAAGAACATCTACAAAAACCTACAACTAACATCACTCAGTAGTGGTGAGAAACTAAATGTTTTCCCACTATGATCAGAAACAAGGTAAGAATGTAGCTTACAACTCCTATTCAGCATCATACTGGAAATGTAAAACACTGACAATACCCAATACTGTGAGGATGTAGAGCAATAGCAACTCTGATTCAGTGTTGATGGGAATGCAAAATGGTACAGCCACTGTGGAAACAGTTTGGCAAATTCTTACAAAACTTGATGTATTCTTACCATATGATCTAGCAATTGTCCTTTTTGGCATTTACCCAAATGAGTTCAAAATTTATGCCCCCCCACAAAACGGCACATGAATGGTTATATCAGCTTTATTCATAATTGCCAAAAATCGGAAGCAACCAAGATGACCTTTAAACAGGTGAATGCATAAACAAGCTTGGGTAAATCCATATAAAGGAATATTACTTAGTGATTACAAAAATGAGCCATCAAGCCATGAAAAGACATGGAGGAAACTTAAATGTATAGTCATTAGTGAAAGACGCCACTCTGAAAAGGCTACATAATGTATTATTCCAACTCTATGATGTTCTGGAAAAGGGAAAACTATGGAGATAATAAAAAGATCATGGGTTGCCAAGGGTTTGTGCCTTAATGGCACCGCTCCTTCTCAAGGGTTTTCTTTTTTTCTTTATTTTTTTGCTAAGACAAAAAAAAGAAGCCATTTGCAAGGTGTTATAGTATTCTGCCTTTGGAAAAAATTAACTTGACTCTCTCTTTTAAAACTATTTCTAAAGTCATACTGATACCAGTTCAACGCTTAAGAATCTGTGTATTTTTTCCAAGTGTTCATTTGAAAAGTAATAGAGTCACTGAAACAATGCTTATTCTTCTCAAAAAAATTTTTAAAGTTTATTCAATTTAAATCAGTAACATATAGTAAAAACATATGGTAGCTGTAATTTTATTTTGTTGTATGTCAATGACATTTGGATTAAAAGCACTGTCACTCAAAAGCATAATAAAACTTACCTAATTTTTTCCATATTCCTAATAAAATAATGAGCTGTGGTGTACTAGTTTCTTAAATATGTATTTGCATTTAGGTTGTATGCTCACAAAATTATTGAAAAAATCAAAAGGGTGAAGAAATAACTTAGACAACAAATCTGTTTTTTGTTTTTTGTGTGTGTTTAGTATCCAAAGACGATAACTTTAGATGCATTTTCAATTGTTATGGTACAGTTGCTTGGAATTAATCTAGGATTAACATATGATGACATCTACAATTGTTACTGTCCAGGAACTACATGCATAATGAATCCTCAGGCAATGTAAGGTGTTATTTTTATCAAATCTATGTCTTCTCTTGGGAAATGTTTGTAGTATTCCCTGATATATAGTCTTTTGCAATATAATTTAAGTAAGAATATTTTTATTAAATACATATGTGCCTAAAAACTTATTGAAGAAAATGAGTATTTGATATTGTAGAAAATGTGTTTAGTAGTTCTATATTCAATGTTATAGTATAAAGCGGATGTTGATGATGACTTTCTGGGTTTTCTAGAATCTTCATGTGAAATCCATTCATTCATTCTAAGAATCTGTAATAAGCATCTACTGTGTCCCAGGGATTATGTTAGTTTGTCTTACGAATGGTTGACAAGATAGATATGTCCTAAATATCTTACATTAGTCCTTCAGGGACAGAGAGTTAAAAAATAGGCATAAAAATAAACAAAATATAAATTCTTTCTATAGGTGCCGAGAAAGAAATAAGTAGGGAATACATGGGGAGGAGAAACTTTCTGATAAAGTGCTTTAGGAGAGTTTCTCTGAGGAAATAATTATGTCAGAACCCGAAAGTGAAGGAGTGAATCTGGTCCTGTAAAAAGCTTGTTGAAAACTTTTCAGGGTCAGCAAGTGAAGTGATACTTGGTTGGAAAAAAATTAGAAAAGCTCGACGAACTGAAATAAGGAGATGGAGGGGAGGATAAAAACGAGCCCTCCCCCCCTCCCCCCAAAAAAAAGAAAGAACACCTGAGACTACAAGGAAGAATGGTTTAGGCCTGGAGAGAAAGTAAAACACAATGAGGCTAAAGCACAACGAGTCAGGGGAAGTCCAGGAGAGGACATAGGAAATGTAGGAGAGAGCGTGATCACAGAGTCCTGATGCGGGACTTGGGATTTTATAATAAATGTAACAAAACACATTGTTATTGATTCATGCAGTGTGGATAGTAAAAATTATCTTGTAAAATGAATGCAAAATATGTCAGTGGGGACAAGAATACAGTAATATTTAAGAAATGATGATTCTCATAATAATCTATAGCAGTTTCATAGATGGAGAGAAAGGGAGATGTCAAGACTTATCTGTAGATTTTTGGATATCACGACATATTAACAGATATTAAAAAGGCAAATATTTTAGGAAAGGTGGAAAATGGGGGGAAATCTTGAGGGGAGTTTATATGTATTAAATTTTGGGTCCTAAATCTTCCATTAGAGTTAAGTGCACAGATGTATAATTCCGGATCTCAAAGGACAAGGGATGTAAAATGTATGAGCCATCAGCATATTGATGGGAATTAAAACCATGAACAGATCATTTAGAAAGAAGGTGAAAAGAGGTGCCTTAAGATGTAGCTTTGTCTACTTCCCATATTTACAGGCTGAGTTATTGAGGAAAAAGTGATATGGAGTAAAAAGGAACAGTAAGGAAGAAAATTTTAGGACAAGAACCAAGATAGGATGGAGTCTTACCTCGGGAGGAATGTGTTTTAAGAATAAGGGAGAGGCTGGAAGTCAGATGGTAAAAGTATCAGCATGGTATTTTAGCCTCCCCCAATTCTCTCACAAAACAGAGAGTAAAACGATGAAAGCAAACATAAAGCAAAGACATATTCCACACGTTTCCCAAACTGGAATGCACCAAGGATACTAGCAGGTGGGGCCAATCCACTGACAAAATAAGACCTGCGTGAAGAAAGTAGCTGTGTAGGAGAATGAACAAGGAACACAGTGGAACCTCTACAAAACATACAGACCTGGGAACTCAGACATCATTGACTAATCTACATCCCAAAAAGTGATCCCCTGAGACTGAAATATCAGTAAGCTCATACATTACAGGAGGCAGATTTGGTGGGGATATTGTAAATTGTAGGTGAGAGCCAAGGGACTGCGAACATTTCTTAAGATGCTGGTATGGCCTTGGTCTCTGACCTTAAAAAGTCCAGTAACAATGAGCACATGTGTCACCCAGATTGTGTTTTTAAAATACTATTCTCCACTAAAAGGAACGGGAGCACCTTGGAGAAATGATTTATTCCACTGCCAACACAGAGAAAATACAAGCGAGCCTGGAACATCATGTGTCAGAAAATAAGGAAGTGTTCAAAGAATTATGGAGATTTGTCGAAGGAAAACCAAAACCTGAAGAGCTCCCAATAGCCAAATCTGGGACAATTTGAGTGTCGTAAATAATAGTTATAATAATGGATTATAATCCATTTAGTACAATAGGAAAATATGATTCCATATTCATATAAATGCATGAATGAATGAATTGAAAATGTAATTATGAAAGGGATATTTACATACAACCAAAGTACCTTTCTCCAAATATTTTTTTTATTGAGGTGACATTGGTTTATAACATTATATACATTTCAGTGGTACAGCATTATATTTTGATTTCTGTGTAGATTACATCATGTTCACCACCCAAAGACTAATTACCACCCATCACCACACACATGTGCCTAATCACCCTTCTCTCCCCTCCTTCCCCTCTGATAACCACCAATCTAATCTCTGTATCTATGTGTTTGTTTGTTGTTGTTATCGTTTTTAGCTTCTATTTAAGAGTGAGATCATATGGTATTTGACTTTCTCTGTCTGACTTACTTCACTTAGAGTAATACCCTCAAGGTCCATCCATGTTGTCACAAATAGCAAGATCTCATCTTTTTTTATAACTGAGTAGTATACCATTGTGTATATATACCACATCTTCTTTATCCATTCATTCCTCACTGGGCACTTAGATTGATTCCAAGTCTTGGCTATTGTGAATAATGCCGCAGTGAACATAGGGCAGCAAATATCTTTACACGTTTGTTTTCATGTTCATTAGACATATACCTACTAGTAGAATTCCTGGATCATATGGTAGCTCTATTCTTAATTTTTTGAGGAATCTCCATTCCGTTTTCCACAGTGGCTGCGGCAGTTTGCTTTCCCATTAGCAGTGTATGAGAGTTCCCTTTTCTCCACACCCTCTCCAACATTTGTTATTTCTTGTTTTGTTAATTCTGACAGGCATGAGGTGATATCTCATTGTAGTTTTGATTTGCATTTCCCTAATAATTAGTGGTGTTGAACATTTTTTCATGTGCCTGTTGGCCATCTGTACATCTTCTTTGGAAAAATCTCTGTTCAGATCTTTTGCCCATTTTTTAATTGAGTCGTTTGGTTTTTTGTTGTTGAGATGGATGAATTCCTTATATATTTTGGATATTAACTCCTCATCAGATATGTGGTTTGCAAATATCTTCTCCCAATTGTTAGGTTGTCTTTTCATTTTGTTGATGGTTTCCTTTGCTGTGCAGAAGCTTTTTAGTTTGATGCAGTCCCATTTGTTTGTTTTTTCTTTTGTTCCTGTTTCCTGTGAGACCTACTATTTGAAAAGATACTGCTAAGATAGATGTCAAAGAGAATGCTGCCTATATTCTCTTCTAGAAGTTTTATGGTTTCAGGTCCTACATTCAAATCTTTAATCCATTTTTAGTTAATTTTCACGTATGGTGTAAGATAATCATCTACTTTAATTCTTTTGCATGTGACTGTCCAGTTTTCCCAACACCGTTTATTGAAGAGACTTTCCTTTCTCCATTGTATGCTCTTGGCTCCTTTGTCGACAATTAGCTGTCCATAGATGTATGGGTTTATTTCTGGCCTCTCAATTCTGTTACATTCACCTATGTTTCTGTTTTTTTGGTAGTACCATGTTGTTTTGATTACTAGAGCTTTGTATTATATTTTGAAATAAGGGAATGAGATACCTCCTGCTTTGTTCTTTTTTCTCAGGATTCCTTTGGCTATTCGCGTCCTTCTGTTATTCGATGAAAACATTAGGATTCTTTGTTCTCTTTCTGTGAAAAATGTCATTGGAACTTTGATAAATAATGCATTGAATCTGTAGATTGCTTTAGGGAGTACGGACATTTCGACTACGTTAGTTCTTCCAATCCAAGTGCACTGAATGTCTTTCCATCTCTTTATGTCTTCTTCAATTTCATTCAACAATGTTTTATAGATTTCAGTGTACAAGTCTTTACCTCTTTGGTTAAATTTATTCCTAGGTAGTTTATTATTTTTCTTGTAATTGTAAATGGGATTTTATTCTTAATTTCTCTTTCTGCTACTACGTTGTTAGTGTATAGAAGTGAAACTGATTTTTGTATGTTGATTTTGTGTCCTTCAACTTTATTCATTTATTATTTGTAAAAGTTTTTTGGTGGATTCTTTAGGGTATTCTATATATAAAATCATATCATCTGTAAATAGTGACAATTTCACTTCTTCCTTTCCAATTTGGATATCATGTTCGCATTTTACTCTTAACGGTTTCAGCAAACAAAATTTATTTTTTGGACTATGTTTGTATTATTTCTCTAAATTTGAGACTGTTATAAAATTAAATAAAAACCCCTTAAACAGTATGCTTAGAAGTATAGAAATATTTTAAAAAGTCAAAAAAGTAAAAAGAATCTACGGCTTATACATTTTATATACTTAACATTGAGATATTTCAATTGATTAATTTTGTTACCAAAGAACAAATAACCCTGATTTTTTATTAACATAATCTATCTTCTTTTATTCCTTCAGTTTTTCACACAAATTTTTAGTATGTTTTATTTTCATATAAATAATTAGTGCTTCTTGTTATAATGATTATAATTATGATGTTGACAATAATTAAAATAATAAGACTGACTTAGAGCTTTTTGTGTGCCAAGCACTGTTGTGTTTTAATATATTCTAACTCATGTCATCTCAACTTCCTCTACATGCTAGATGTCTTTTATATCAAACTACGATAGAAATGAACTTATTGCTTTTATCTGCAACTTGTATTAAAAATAGAAGCACTCACCCTTCCTTCTTGGCTCTTCTATAAGTGAATAATAGTACAGAATTCACAGCACTTTACTGAAGAGTGTTACTTTGGTACTGATTGTATTCCATTTATCTGAGGATTATGATTTCATTTTAGACGCTCCCATGGTGTAAAGTTTTTTAGCAGTTGCAGCGTGAATGAATTTAAACATGTGGTTTCACAGCCTCAATTTGAATGTCTTCAGAATCAAACAGTTTCAAAAGTGGTTTACCAAGAAAAATCTTCAACTTGTGGCAATCAGGTTTTGGAACAATTCGAGGAATGTGATTGTGGAAGTGTAGAGGTTAGTAACAAAGATTGATAGCTTATTTAAAGTCTTGCTTTTGTGTTTCTCATGTAGTCTTATAAATATGGGTGTGGTATAAAAGGGGAGGACGTTTTTTGCAAATGCTGCACTATTTTATCAGACTTCTAAGATAGGGAGATGGGGGCATGTGATAACTGACTCATCCTGGATTTGAAGCATTTGAAGAGTAACTATGGGGTAAGTGTAGCATGGATTAAAGAAATAGATTTTCTTCATTGTGTAACTGTTAAAAGTAATAACCACCTTTCTTTATCATAAACATCAGTACCATTAGTAGTATAATCATCACCTAAATCATCTCCTGAATTCCTCCAAGGTGACTGCGTCAGTTCACTAAGTTATTAAATGTATGTTGTTGTTTACTGCCTCACCTTTTAGTTTTAGTCCTTGCATCCAGGGTAGCTTCATTTATTTTAACTTGCTTTCACAAAATTCAATTAGTCATAATCCTTCCTTTGTAATTGCTATATTTAGCTTTCTGCACATATCTTTTTTTTTTCAGTTGTTCTTGGTAAGACAACTAATCATTGAATTTTGTTGTGACTGCCTTCATATGCTTATGTGTGATGATTTTTTGGAATGTTCCTTATTTACTTGGGAAATTGAAAGCTCTTTAATTGTTAGGAACAAAAGTCTGCATAACGTGATTACATCATAACTTTTAAGTGAGTGACTCAAATCTGTATTTTTACTGATTTTGATTGCCTGGCCTCTCAGTACTTGAAAAATAGTATTGATATTTCCAACTATACAGTTGGATTTGCCTAATTCTCACTATAATTTACTCACTTCATGCTTTATATATTTTGAAGCTGTTTTATATGACGCAAATTTATTTACAATAGTTATATCTTCCTAGAAATTTTCTTTTACCTTCAAATACTGAATCTCTTTATCTCTAATGTTGCTTTCTGTTTTAAAGTCTATTTTGCCGGTCATATCTATATATCTCTTTCTATATCTACACACACACTAGCTTGCTTTAATTAGTATTTCCCTGATATTTCTCTATTCACACTTAGTTTTTCTGTACTATTAAGTTCGATATCTACATTGGGTTTTAATTTCTTATTTAATTTGTTTTTGATTTACAAGATTATTCCCTTAAACGTTATTGTGATTAAATTTTTGCATATTGTTTTAATTAGCTAAAACACATAGTTCATTCAGATTTCCTTTATTTTTACCCAGTAGCCTTTTTCTGTTCCAGGATCTCCACCAGGATACCTTGTTACATTTATTTGTTATAACTCCTTATGCTCCTCTAGACTGCATACTTTTAAAATTTTATTTGTCTCAAAATTTATAATTTTTATGTGTATTTTGCCACATTTCTTTTTTAATTGAACTTTTGCTCATTTCTTTTGATCTGTGTGTTTTGTTTTCCTTTCTTCCACTATTTCTTTCAGTGATTTAGTGGATATGTACTTTTTATTTCCCTTTACTGATTATCCTTGAATTTTTACCATACTTTTTAAAGGTTTAACCATATCTGAGCCACCTTCCCCCAAAATAGCATGGTTTACAACTCACTTAGCTTACATAACATTTTTGTAAATATTTCATTTCAGTCATCTTTACTCTTTACATTAGAAAGTACTCTGAAGACTTTATTCAGAAAGTAGTGGCTTTATTTTATCTACCATTCCTTTTATTTATTAGCATTTTTTATTTTGACATGTCAACGTTTCCTTCTGAAATAATTTCCATTTGAATTATATTCTATTTCTTAAAATATGCTTTAGGGCAATTCTCTTGATAGGACAGTTCTCTGCCCACTTTTGTTTAACAATAAATATTTATGTCATTCTCATTTTTTAATTATGATATATAATATGCATGAAATATAAACATGAATTGTTGATGAAGAGTGCAATGAGTATACACTTAACAAGCACCTGAATAATTTGCACTCAGGTCAAAACAAACCTTACTTCTGACAAAGAAGTTCTCTGTGTGTGCCTTTGCAATCACATGCCCCTTCCTTCCAACCATTGCTTAGAACTTAGTGTAATCGTTTCTGTGTTTTACTCTTCATCATAGTTTTTCCTTCCTATTTTTACTCCTTATACAATATAGTTTGGTTGACTGTTTTATGCTTTTATATAATTTTCAATCCTGTGGTTTATATCACTTGGTGACTTGGTCTTTCACCCAATATTGTACTTCAAAAGTTCATCAATTTTTGAGTGTAGCTATAGTCCAATTGTTTTGATTGCTTTTAGTGTTAATTTTATGAATACAATAGTTTATTATGCATCAATGAAAATTTGTTATTTTCAATTTTTGACTATTAAGACACTTGCAATTATGACTTTTCTTGCACATGTCTCCTGCTGCACATGTGCCTGCAGTTCTCAGGCTGTATACCAAGAAGTGAATGTGCCATGTTATGAGGTATTTAAGTGAATATAACTTTGAATTGAGGATATCTTACTTACTTTGGGTTTTCTTATGCTTGAATAGTCTTTTCATGTCTTACCCACATTTTCCTGTCATTTAATCAGCATTCACTCCTGTGAATTGTCAGCAATTTATCATCAATATAGTAGAAGGCTCAGAGGTATGCTGTTTCTCCACTAAACTAAGTTCTTTTGGTGGAGACAAGTCTTTGAAGAGGACCCCCAGAGATCTAGTAGTTTAGTTGCAGCAGTAGGTGGGCTACTTTTGTTTCTTATGAGTGGAAAGCCTCCTATTTGTGGAGTTTACAAGCGTCAGAGGCCAATCTCTTATAGTGGAACTTTTGGGGGTTTACCCACCCGTTTGAATTGGATTTTATAAAGGACTTTTAACAGAATGGGAATATTGGAATCAAACCTTTTTTTCACTTAACTATGGGATAAAGTGCTTTGATTTCAAATTCCAGGAACCAGTGAACCTCAAGGGAAATTCAGGGCCAATGGATGAAATCAGCTGTGAAGGTGGTCAGAGATGCCTGCAGTTGCATGGAGTCCTAATCAGATACAGTGCCCAATGGCAGGACCTTCTTTTCACCCTCACTCCTTTTATCCTGAACTACTTTCAATGCTTCTTCTTGCTGAGCTCCACCTACTGCCATAGAAACTTAGCTGCTTTTGTTTGTAACTCAGTATAGTAGTGGATCAAGAAGGTTATTTGGATGGTAGTCTGTTTTCATCCAGTTATACTTAAATGGCATGCAGTGCAAAGCAAACAAGTTTCTCAGTGCAGGTCATTATAAAAATGTTATAATTGTGACAGGATATCTACACACTCAATAGTATTTTACAAGAATTGGTATAATCTAGAGATGACACATCCTTGTGGAAGTCCAGAACAGCAAACTGTGCTCTAAGCCTTACCTGATAAAATTGAAATGGATTTGGTCAACTTCCCAGAACTGTATAAAAAGTATTAGCAATACCCAGTGTTTATCTATGTGTGTGAAAACCTAGAAAAAATTTATCAAATCCACAAAGACTAGCAAAAGAACAAAAATATTTGAAAGGCATAAAAGACCAGACTAATAGCCAGATTAGTTAAAATATTTAATAAGCTTAAACATACAACATACATATTTGTAGAATATATTTCTGGGCTACAAAATCCTAAAAATAATGACATTTTTTTAGTGTGGTACTAGGATTTCAGAAAAATTGAGCAGATAATGCAGCAAGTTCTGTTTACCTGCCCCACTCTCTACCTCAACTCCGGCACACAATGTTCCTATTATTAACATCTTGTATTTGTGTGGTACATTTATACAATTAATGAGCCACTATTGATACATTATAATTCAATTCAGTAGTTTACATTAAGGTTCACTCTTTGTGTTATACAATTCTACAGATTTTGATAAATTCCTAATGACATGCATTGACCATTACAGTATCATGCAGAATAGTTTTACCACCCTAAAAAATCCCCTTCAGTTCACATATTCAGCTCTCCTTCCTTTTTCTCTAACTCCTACGTCTCTGATTCATTTTGAGTTGATTTTTGTGAAAAAGGAAAGATCTGTATCTAAGTTCTTTTTTAGAATTAGAATCTGTGGGAGACCCAAAACCACAATTACTCCTCTAAGCCGTATACCTGAATGTTTACCCAAAGAAATCATAAAATAATAAATGACTATTGTTGTTTGAAGCCATTAAGTATTTGTTCTGCAGCAATAGATGACACATGCCACTTTATGTGTATTGCTCTATACTTCACAAAAATGTTCACGTTTCCTCTAACGGTGGTTGGAATTTTTCTACAATTTATATTTACATATGCAATCCAGCTGTAATTTATTGTTATATATATTATATAGATATCAAATTGAACAATCACAATTTACTTAAGGACGATACTTCCTTCACTGCTCTGAATCATAATTTTAGTATAGATCAAGTGAACATTTGTTTTCCTACTCTTGTGCCAACATTACACTATCTTAATCACTGTAGATTTTTATTAATTCATGGAATATGATATTACATATTCCCCATCATTGTTTTTCTAATTCATGATTGTCTTGAATATTCTTGGCCCTCTGCTATGAATTTCTGGTTCGTCTTTTCAGTTTCTGCCAACAAAAAGATCAAAAGATGTTTCACTGAATCTTTAGATAAATTTGAGTTAGGATAAAATGGAGGTATATTGCCTGCGAGATGCACATGAATCTTTGGGGACCAGATAGTGAAATGTGGTAGAATAACCCTCAAAGTTTCCCATGTTCTAATCCCCATAACTTGCAAATATCTTACCTTACATGGCAAAAGCGATTTTGAAGATAAGATCAAGTTAAGGATCTTGAGCAGGGGAGATATCCTATATTATCCAGGTGGGCCCAATGTAATCACAAGGGTCCTTATTAGGGGCATGCAAGCAGGTCAGAGTCAGAGGATATGTGACAATGATATTTGAAGATGCTAGACTCTGGTTTTGAAGATGGAGAAAGTGTCCATGAGCCAAGGAATGCAGGTGGTCTTTAGAAGCTGGAAAAAGCAGCAAAATAGACTTTTCTCTAGAGC